GTTAATTGTTGTATCTTTGCAGGTTACGGGTATAACGCTGCAATTTGCGTGTGAACTAATTACAGGCTGTCGATAATGCATGATGTACAGGTAGTAAATTCAATGTCTCTTTAATAATATAGAATTTTCAACCTGACTCTAATGGAAATAATACATGCTGTATACCATTGACAGACTAATTTACTGACCCAATTAAAAAGTCGTTTGAAATAAAAAAAAAAACTGTTCCCATTGATTTCCTATAATTTACGGGTGCACTATTAAACATCAAACATAATCTGTGGACGCAATACAAATGGGACGGAACATTAAACGAATAAAAAAAAACTTTAGGTTAATGATGCTTTCAAACTTCTAATTAGACTTTATAAATGGAAATATGTATTTTTTAAATTAGTAATTAGTAGAATGAATGTTTATCAAATTGAAATTTTGTTAATGCTAATGAGAGCGTAGTTTTATCAGAAAATAAGTAAAAGAAATCTGACCTTTGAAGGTGTGCACTAGTTGGTTGGTCATGATATGCCATAGCTGTGGGTCGCTGTCGGCGCAGCAAATGACATGTTGTCCATTAGGGGTGGATTCGACTAGGTAGACTTGTGGAGTATTGATGGTTCTGGAATGCGATGGAAGCGGGGGTTGAAGCCAATCGGTCAATGGAACGACCAACGGAAGGGTGAAGCCATCGCACCAAGCCATGGCTGCCGTGACGAGGGAGTTCATTAGGCCTCCACTGCTGCTACGATCCGTAACCGGCCTCAACCAAGTAATAATCTGTGTCCCCAGTTGATAGGTGTCCTTTGTTAGGATATCGGTGGCCTTTCGTATAGCATGGTAAACCAATTCGATTTCTCTATCTAATATGTAACACCTGACGTGCTCCAAGATGCACCGCATGTAGCTAATCGAGATAGTGTGTACCTGCAAACGATATTAGGGATTTGTGAGGTAATGTGATTAACAGATGAGAGTGTCCGGCTTACAACTGCCAACAAGAAATCGTAATTGCATAGAGTGAAGCCCTTGAGCTTCGCCAGGTCCCCGGACTTGAGGAAGTGAATCCAGGATTCCTCGATGTGCCTTGTGCTATATGTCACATCCGAGCGTATCGTCGATTGGAATGGTGTCTCTTTAACGTCGGACCGAAGGGGAGCTGAAATACGAGTAAACTCTCAAACAAACAGAATCGGAAGCAGAAGTCAAACGGTAGATACCGGGTTCATCTTCGGATTCGCTCGTCTCCTCTTCGCAGAACTCATTGAAAAATATATTAGCAATATCTGTATGAGTATTCCGGATGGTCTCCTGATTTTGCAGATATCGCTTTCTTGCGACGCCCTTAATATTCCAGTGCCGCCATTCGATTATCAATTTCCCGTTCATCACTTTCTCGTGCAGCAGAGGTTCTGAAAAAAAAATAAGGAGGCGAAGGAAAAAACGTGGGGTGAGATCCCCGATATTAAACATTGTTCGTTCCGATATTTTCATTAACCGAACTCATATTCCGGCGGATTGTGCAGAAAGTGGAGAAATTGAAGTTGGCATTCTCCAAAGAAATGACGGACACGTTGCTGCTGGTTGGCATCAGTATCTCTAGAAGTTCGGTTTCGGTGAAGCCGTATTCAGAGCAGGTGAGAAGAGCTGATAATCGGGCCACGGCAGGTTTTCCAAAAAGGCTCTCCAACTCATCGAACGCGCTTTCCACTTGATCTGAAATCAATATGGAGATAGCACGAGATCCTTTATCCCACTTTAGTTTTTTACCGCTGAGAGAATCATCCGCCATCGGCAGCTCCAAATAACAATCAGGATTCTTCATTCGATCCTTCTGTACGGCTGTTAACCGCATTGCATCCAATTCCACTCCTGTTGTGCAGATCAGGAAACAATTTCTCGGCAAGCTGATTGGCAGCCAGTTCAAACCAGATCCAGGATCCGTATCCAGGGTATTCAATAAATGCAGATCATCGATGAATATTACTAGCTTCTGGTTCATATCCTCGAAGATGCGTAACAAACTTTGGAACCAGTTGTTAATGTATAGTGGATCAAACGAAGCATCTTTAGGCAGAAATCCTTCCGGCAATTTAAGTGCGATGCATATTTGCTGGCAAATTACACGCAACAACTCCAGGTTGTATGCAGAACGCGGAGTGCTTGAAATGTATCTAACTATACGTAATAGTTTGCAATCGAACCACGAAGCAAAATCTCTGTACAACGTTTTCACAAGCGACGTTTTCCCTGTCCCCGTCTGTCCGTAAATTACAATTGGATTATGTCGGGAATCTGTAGTGCCCTTAACTATTTCCTTTATTCTGTTCACTATATCTGAGTTCGAGAAATCCATCTTGACATCTTCGTAGTTCATCGTTAAGTGTGTTATGTTCTCTTGGAAATTTTCCTTGAAAAGAAAACACGCTCTAGCAACATCTACTAAACCTACGAGCAAGCAACCTCAAAAGTATTATTTCGCCAGGATAATTTATTAACTCATTGCATATATTACATTCAATAAACATGTCAATTATTAAAAATTAAAAATGATAATAATAATTATCATAAATAAATTATTCAAATTCAACTAAATTCTTAATGAATCAGGATATTAATATAGAGTGTACCTTCAAACCATTCAAATTATATTTCTAATCGATAGAAAATGTTGAATAGTTAAGCTTTAAATTAATTTTGCATTATCATAAATTTTAGAAATTAAATTAATAATTCATAAATTTATTGTATTATTAGAAGTTTAATAATTGGACAAAGTGATGAATTTGGATGTTAATATATTGTCGCATTTGTATAGAATTGTGTAACACTTACCTCAACAATCTTCTTGCGTGATTTGAGGTCGGGATCTTCCTTGACGCTCTTCTTGACTAGCATTTGTAGTTTCTTGAAGATCATGCTTTTGAATTTATTCAGATAAATTTCGTGATCTTCATCGTCGGGATCGATGCTGCCGTCTCCCTTGTAGGGCACCCTAAAAAGGGATCGCCAAATGTAATTGAAAAGCTGCGAAATCGATGGTGTCTGAATCGACAATTAAAGATGTTATGAATAATGCACAAGGAAGATGATGGACTTACGTGAAGTGGCATTGATTTTCTTCAGGGATGAGCGAGTTGACATTAGCCTTGAAAGTTTCGGAATCCCTGCGCGAATGTTTCGCCGTCGCATCGCGATGTCCCTGCAAAAGAAAAGCACAAGTTATGAATGGAATGAGGGCGATCCCGAATTGTAATTTACGTGTTCGTAATGGAACTCCCTAATTATGTTCACCATGCGATGTGCGGCGCCTTCGCTCAATTCTGAAACGTTATTAAATGTTATTAATTGCCGGAAATGTGAGAAACGGTTTAGATACCAATAGCGTAGTTGAATTGATGTTCCACAGTTGATCTGAGCAGACGGACGACGGCTTCCTTGTCTTCGATAACACCTCCTGCTGCGCGCAACGCGTTGATTATCTCATCGGTGGCAACCTTCCATTCCGGAAGTTCCAATTTCCTAAAAACATTTCCTTTCAGTATAACTCCCGATCAATCCACGGCCTCCACGAACCCGTAATCCTTAATGTTATAGCAGTCGCCGTCCTTAATGTACCATTTCCTGAGAATATCCGCTGCTGCGTCGTCCTCTTTAACCAATTCAGAAAAGAGCTCATCCTCAATCCTCGCCGGCACCGAACACTGACCGTAGCTGCTCCCGATTAGCGACTACAAGACCAGTTTAGAATTTCTATTGTACGACAGCTGCCCAACGGGTATTCCTAACTTACAATGAAAAAGCAACCCCTTGATACCTCGTGGCACTTCTTGATCTCGGATAGATGGTCCTCGAGAGTTCTAGGGCACAGGCCGTCTCTTTCAGATGCACCGAAATGCATGTCGACAATCTCGACCTACAACATTCAATGCCACTCATAATCCTCAGTTCCATTCTAAACCAAGTTCCACGACACTCACCTCGATCTGATACTCATCGCAAATGATCTGCAACTCGGGGCCGACAAACTCCAACAATAGGCGACGTTCCTCGACGAAATCTTTGAAACAACAAAAGTCAATTTGCATGTAAATAGGCCTCGAGATAGAGGGGAGACACGCAGAATGCCGAATAAAATAACATGCATTACATAAACGGCATGTAATAAAACGTAAGTAATTTTTGAATTTATTGCTTTCAATTTCAACAATCGCAGTAAAACCTTCGTGTTTTTTTTTTTAATTAATACTAGCCTCCACATATGCCAATAATAAAAGCCATATATTAATAAACCGAATAAAAGCACTTCACGTTTCGAGCACCGACCCAACTTCGACCACGAAAAACGTAAAGCCAAGTGCATTTCAATTTAAATTGGAAAACTTTCGTAATTAACAAAAGTTTTTCCTACAACAAATAAAAAAACAATCCTTTATCGACCATCGCAGATTGTGTACCCAAAAGTAAAATATATAACATTTGAGTTTTATGCAAACAAATTACATACAAATTTTATATATCAATTTTATAAACATAATTGTATTTTGTATGAGTTTTTTTTTTTCAACAAAGTTCTTTAAACTTTACGATAAACATGAACAATTATATAAATAAATTGAATAATTTATATGTGAATGAATAGAATAGAATAAAAAAAATTAACAAATGTTTTTCAACTAGCTTGAAATAATACAATTTTTTATTGGTAATTATTTCGAGACTCGTCTAACGAAATATTATGGTTACTTTATTCCCGAACGTGTATTTACTTTTAATTTATGGCGGTTTACTTTAAATGAGAGTGAATTAAAACCCAAACTAGGTGCACGTAAATTTTGTTTTAATGTGCGATATATTAAACCGTAATTTATTCATTGATATTATTAATATGTTAGTCGGCTATAACACTATACAGGGTGAGTCTTCTCTATTGATCCAAACGGCCAGATTTTCCACAAGGCTCCAGCCAGCGCCCCACCGTTACATAATAAGCAAATTTCGGCGAGCCACAACCGTAAAGTTGAAATTTCCTATTACCACATATTATTTTTGATGTATATAACGTAGCTTTAATCTTTTACCCTAGAATATATACAATATACATACATTGCTATCAAATAGTCTGAAATTATTTTTAATTTTTTGAAACAAAAATATTTATATTGTATTATGAAAAATTAAAGTCTAAAATTTAAATACTGTTTGTATTTGTTAGGAATTTTCTTTCTTAATTAGCCTACTAGAGGGAATATCTATTAGTTCAAAGTTGTCAAAAGTTCGCTCATACAATCAATAAGGTTTTTAAAATTTTTGTTTACTTTTTGTAATTTTTACAAATGAAATGAAATACTTGTCAATTTGGAAGAAATGATATTTTTTTAAGAATAAACGGAAATACTGCATTTCATTTTGTAGAAGTAAAAGAAAATTATAAGGGAAATTAAATGGAGATCTTCGTTGTAGGATGGAAATAGATAGAAAGTAAATACTACGAAAATTTATGGGGCTCGTTTTGCGCGCCTCGCGGAAACCAACAAAGAGCTTTCAGCAGATGAAAATGGAACTTTAATGGAGGCAATAAACTTAGTTAGAAAGTGTTTGCGATATTCATGCAATTTGATTCGAAATAAACTCCCGACGATATTATATACTATGTACATATTTAAAAAAAAGAAACGAAAGAAAAGATGTTCTTAGTAGCGAACTAAAATGGATTAGGGGTAACAAGTTGAAAGAGTTAAAGTCGGAAAATAAACGTGTTCTATATAAAACGCGATAGGATGCTGCGAATCCTCTGCATCTCTGCGTCTGTGCTCCGATCCTTAGAGAACATCCCCTTTAATGAGCGCATCGAAAATACTTGTCCATCGCTGCACATCCACCGCAATTATTGAATTAACCGAATCATCCTACTTACGTAATGTAACGATCGCAGTGCTAATCTGCACAATGAAAAGCGTCCAAAGCAAACGCGTTCATTGAAATGTAAACAAAAAAAAAACAACGAATAAATAAAAATATTAATAATAAATGAAAATCGTGGATTCGCCCATGCAAATAATATTGATTGCGACCGTGACATTCATTTAATTTCATTGGTTGGTTAAAAAAAGAGAAGTAATTCAGCAGCAGTAACAGAATGCGTACGACGGGAGAGGAATAGTGAATGCAAATGATACCTAAATATTTGCTTTGGAAATGCGCTGCAGCTGTGTTACAGGAAATCATGTTATTCAATAATTGCCAAAACACACATTCGATTCCTGTTACTTTACTTTTTATTTTATTTATTTTTCCACCTATGGTATTTAAATGCGCTTAATTAATTGATTCCGGCGTCTGGAAAGGATAACGGAAAGGATCGTTGAAAACTTCAGGTTTTATCCGAGCTCTCCGATGCAGCTGCTTGCTCATTTCATTTTTTTATCCTTGCTCCAGCATCACAAATAGCATTTGTCACCTTTTATAATTGGCATTTGATTTTCTATGATGATTATTATTAAAATGGATTTTAATGTTCTGAAAATTTGTAATTTCAGGAATTATTATTTTGTTTTATAAATTTGTGATTCCTCAAATTGTTGTTGTAATATTTTTCCTCTGAAAGTATTATTTATGAAATGTGTTAATTAATTACTAATTTATTTCGTTATAATATTCCTTTGTTATTTTTGTATGGTATGTATTGTTTTCGTGACAAAGAAAATATGTGCTGCGAGGATTGTAATTACTGCTTTGCTTTAGGACTTTTCGTCGGCAATACTTCAGTGTCCTGCGAGTATCTTCAATTTACATTAGGGCCCCAACTTTTGGTCCGGCGCAAATTGGAGTTGATTTACAGCCGCCTACGTCCGGCAGTGTAATTATTATAAGAAAACAAATAGGGCAAGTGCGAGCAAACAGGCAAACAAAAGAAGGTGGCGGAGAAAGAGGAATAGGATAAGGACAAGAAGTAGGGGAAAAAAATGAAGGGAAGGGTTTGGTTTACGAGGGACGGCGACGGTAAGGCATAAAGGGTGGAAAAGCCTGTTGTAAAACGGAAGGCTTTTAAGCGCGGACGGTATTTATATCCTCGAGGCGTTCCGAAAGGTTTATCCCTCACCACCCCCAGGACACTTATCCACCGGCATCCTAGACCAAGGGATACATTTATTACATGAAGTCTGTCGGTTGTCAGACGACGGAAGGATCCTGAAATCAATCATACAAATAATCGAAACGCACACACTGTCGCCGATCCGAATAAATGTTATCCTGGAGGGTCCTGGAGGATAACGCTAGCTAGCATCTGTGCAGCTCCATTTGTTTCCCGCGGAAATTGCGTTCCATTGCGGCCCTCGGCAAAATAATATTTGTGAATTGTAAAGTCTCCGGATGGCTGAGCGCCGTAAAATTGCCAATTTTCAAAATGGATGCGAGAATAGGCCTCACAACGACGAGAAATGGTATAGGGTACAACTCGGGATGTGAATTGGTAGAGAAAACAAGAATGGATTACATCTATATATATATATAGACACCATTCATAAACACATATATATATATAAATATATATGGTTCATTACTTCAGTATAATGGTGATTTTAATGGTCGACGTCGTCGACAAGTACTTAGCGAGATTAACAATTAGATGTACAATTTTTTAACGGTTCGATCTGGTGTAATTTTCAGTGAATTACACTGGCTGCACCATTTATCATCTTAATGCATCTGTTAGACCTGTATTATGCAGCAATAACTCTTTACACAATTAGTCATCCGCTCTAAGGACTACAAAATGGATTATCTAAGCATTATTAAATGAATCATACATCAGGACTACGATGTAGGAATTGCGCTTCTGTATTCAAGTTGTTCATCATTTTATAATACAGTTTATCCTTCAGAAATTACTGAAAAATATATTATTATTATTTTTATACATAATTTTTTAATAATAATAATAATTTATTGGCCAAACATCGATACATAAGAAGAAGAGAAAAAAAAAAGTACAATTTATACATAAATAAATTTTAACATACAATAAATATATATACTAATAGGCTGGCCAAAGGGCTAACGACCGAGGTCTTTCCGCCCTTTTATACATATTTTTCTGATTTAGATATTTTGTGGTATTAGATTCAATTTGAAAGTGATCTTAAATTGTTCCACAACAAAGAGTAGAATAGGAGGTGCTGGAAACGTAGTTGCATTAAATGATGAGCAATTGCATGTGATGAGGAACAAACGATCGGTATAGAAGGCATTCATCGATAAATTTCGTCGAAAGCCAGACCCTGGATGGTCCATTGTTCCTCCAACAATAAACTAAACTGGCCGGGGTCGAAATCCAGCAGGCTTATTAATCGCTTCATTGCATTAATTGGAATAATCCTATAGGGCTCGTGTCTAGCGCAGTGCGAACAACAACAGAAACAACAGCAGCAACAGCAACAACAAGCGTCCGGATCCCATTTGTTTTCGGCGATGCTCTTTCGGCTCATTTTCCCATACGCCCACGTACATTTATTTTATTTCTCGCAGTGTTCGGTTTTCTGCACCGCAAAATAATGTATATTCCCTTCGAAAACGCACCGATTTCATTATTTCAACTACATTTTCATTTCGCCGCAGCTGCATACGAATTGTTTCATGGAATGTTGCTGCCTCCGTGCGCATATTTCCATGCGGAGACACCGACCAAACCCTCAACCTCAACCTCAACCTTAACCTTTAACCCTGACACAAATATATTACATAACTTCCTTACCTCGGTGTCCGCCCTGTCCGTGCGGTGCGCCGGCAGGGGCGGCTTTTGTTGGCTATGCGACCATCCATTAATTAAGCTAATTAACAAAATTAGATTTCCACCACTGTCCGCTGCCATATTATTTCTTAATGCCGCATTTCTAATGTAATTAAGCTCAAGCTAATAACATTTTAATGCGCGCTCGTTAAGAATCAATGATCACGAGTTCGTCTACCCACGCGTTGAATAAACAACTCGGATATCCGGAGATGCGGTTGATCTTATGTTTACAGCACCTTTAACGGTTCGCAAAGATCGTTCGATTGGCATTCATGCAGTTCATCATCGGTTTTATACGACTTTAACGCACATGTATTTTGCAGCCATTAACTGAAGCCGACGTCCTTTATGTGCGTAATGAAACAGAAACAACTGGTTTTATTCCTGTACGAGTTTACGATTCGGTACTTCAAGGCGAATAAATATGTGGAATGCTACACGCGAAATATGACATCGGCAATAGTTCGAACGACAAATACTCGAAGCCGGGAAAACGTTGACTCTGCTGGGTAAACTGAAATAGATAAATAGTGCAGAACAAACAGAAGGAGAGAGAAACACAAAATGGAAAAGAAAGTATGACATGGAATTGCATTGCATTTTACATGTTTGCAGAATGAAACGACAACGCGTTCTTGTAAAAGCATCCGCTTCGCAAGGAAGTCTTTCTCCGAGGACGAGAATTTATTGGCGCTAGCGGATTACAGGGTTGCATTTCCACTAAAGATTAAAGATTAATCAGATCCCTAAACGTTCGTGCTTACGTTAGAATTAACGATGCCTTCTCTCGGAAGGACACAATTCCAAAGGATTACAGAGAGATATAAAATTTAATTAAACGGTCAGTACACATAAACTGTAATTAGATAAAGTAATCAATTTAAGTGGTTCCTTATATCCATTTTAGATTTCGAATATTCTCATCTTTTCTCAAATTATTTCCATTTTCATTACATAAAAGATAATTCTA